AAGCGAAAATTTAAACTTTTCTGACAATGATATAGAAATAATTGCTATTGCAATAATTCAGAATAAAATATAAAATACCATCAGAAGAGAATTTGTTGAACCTTTGCCATAAGCAAATAACTTGTGGCAATTGAACTCAATCAAGAATTTTCGTTAAAACGATTAAGGAAAGATCAGTTAGTGAAAAATTTCCATAAAACAGTTTTATTTTACTATCAAAATTTCGTATTTTTTTTAAAGATCTTTAAAATTTGCATAAATAGAGTAGATATTTTTAAATGTATTAAGAAACAGGGGCTGCATTATTAGAACTTGTTTTTTAGTTGAGTATTAAACAAAACAATTTTTATGAAAACTGTTGATGCTTTTCTAAAGGAAGTTCTGGATCATTTAAAAAACATAAAGTTATAAATATATATTCAATATATTCATCAGATGGGAGATGTTGATGTCAAAAACAACTCATCAACCTTAGGGTAGTAGTAATAATACAGTTTTTATGATTACATTCTTTATAACTTGTCTGTTGTAACATATTGAGGCAAATCTCTTTGAACAAAACAATTACTGAATTGATTCTACTTATGCAATAATATATAGTAATAATAACAACAATATATTTCAAACTTGTGAACAATTTTTGTAAATAGCAAGAACCATATTATAAACAGTTCTTTAAATAACATACTTTTAAGTGTGCTATTTAAAGCATTATCTAAAAAACAGTTTTTTGTTTTTAGGTAATCTAATGTTAATAATGTAATTGATATAATAATAATGATAATTAATGCGATCTAATGGTAATAATGTTTAGAAATAGAATGGACTCATATCAATTATGCTTAAAGAAGTCTTGAAATTTCGCCCGTATATCTCTGGTGTTTGTAAAGTCCTCAAAAACACGCTTTCATCCTCGTCAACTAAATTTAAAAAGGAAAATCTCTCAATTCAAGAGCACCATTAGTACATGTTGTCAGTGAAGTGATTTCTATCAGCGAAATGCTGTGTTTTACTCATTTAAAACAAGAAACTGCATTATCCGAAGTCGATGAAAACTACAACCTATCTACAGAAAAATAATAGGAACAGAGATATGTGACACCTGCTACTCCAGAGAAAGAACTTGATAAAATTAATGTTTCTCAAGAGATTTTAGACTTTTAGAAGAAGTAAGAGTGTAATCGAAGTTATTAACGCAAATCTTATAAAATATAGATTAAAAAGGAAATTCGAATATGTGGAAGATATTGCAAAGATAAATTAAAACGCAAGTATGGTTGCTTATAAAAGAAATCGTTACGAAACTATGGCTCCTGGACAAGTGAACAAATACTTTTCAACTTTCTTAACAGTAAAAATATTGATGAAATAATTACTTCTCTCCCAAATGAAATTATTCGAAATCAATGAGTGTATATATACAAAGTTTATATACTCTCATTATTAAATCATACTAAGTCATTATTAAATCATACTACCAAAAATTTAATAATGAATGGATTTGAGCGATTCTATTTATGACTTGGAAATTACTGAAAAGAATGTATTTAACTACATAAAAACATTTTATTATTTTAGTTGCCTCAAGAAGGTGTTACAGTCTTATCACAGAGATGTTGTAAAACTTTCCCAGAGGCGGTGTTGAACCAATGATTTCTAGTTTTTGAGGCAAGCGCGCTAACCGCTGCGCAACGGCTGCTCATTTGATACAAAGAGGGCCAAAAAGAGTATTTTGTCAAGAAAAAAATGAGTTTACATATGGATATACTATTCATTAAATCGTGTTTACAATTATTAGGTGTGATCAGGGAATAAGTGATGTTGTTTCGTTAGCCACTGTAGTTTTACACCAATTTTTTTTTTTTTAATTTTATTTAGATGACCCAAAAAGTTCTTACGGTCTTATCACAGAGCAACGCGGATGAACATTTAATTGAAAGTTATTTTTCCTAACCGATGTCGCAAAACTTGCTCAAAGGTGGGGTTTAAACCACAGATCCTTTGTTTCTGAGGCAATTGCATTACGACTGCTCATTTCAAAATCGATCAACCACATATCAAAAACATGCTCACTAAACCTGATAAAACCGGTTGCTATCAAAAAAATCTTATAAGTTTTGCAGAGAATGTAAAATATTAAACAAATCATAAACTTTAGATTATATTGTTTTAAAAGTCTAAAACATTCATATTATTATTCTTAGAGAAATTTACTATTGAAAAGTAGAGTATATGTGTGGCGTGGTGGATGTGGTGTGGTTGTGTTATGTGGTGTGGTGAATTATTTGTTTAATGAGTCTAAATATCTGTATTTATGAATGAACCACTAGTTTTTCATTATTTTATTTAATTAGAAATTTAGTTTCCTTCCTGCTCAATTTTTGTTTAATTTTTCAGTTCATTTTATATTATAATAGATTTAAACAACAGTGTTATTATTAACAGGATTTTTTTTTTTTACATTTATGTTATGTTTATTATGATGCTTTAAATACAAAATACATAAATCTAAATAATGAAAATAAAAAATATATTTCTATTATATTTTATTATTTTGTCTTGATTGAACAATTATTAATTAACATTTTTCATGTAAACTTTTATTTTTATTATAGAACCCTGGGCACTGATAACCCTGGTGTGTGATAAAATGATTTTTTTGTTTATTTAGGAAAATCTTGTATTAACACTTTAATATGATCATATTTTTACAAAACTTAGCGCCATACCCGTAATGTGTCATTTTTTTAGAATACTATAACATTTTTTTTTCAATTTTAAGCCGTAATATATGGATAAGCCTTAGGTTTCACCAAAAATTTCTTTGTATTTTTAGCCACAATACCTACGATACGTACAATACCTACGATACGTACACTTCGCCGTTAAAAAACGGCAAAGATAAAAATAATTCCCATTTAAAACTGACTAAACTGAATGTTTTTGTACTATGGTAATTAGCCAACCGCACATTTTCACGCAACTTTTTCACATTTCTTTGAAAAAGCTTATGGGTTACGATGTTAACTAAAAAAGTTTACGATGTTAACTAAAAAAGCTTATGGGTTACGATGTTAACTAAAAAAGTTATGTGCAACTTCTTGCCCTACTAAAAAAATGGATTCAAAAATAGGAAAAACTAAATTTCTAAAAATACTACGAGTGAACAAAGCCTTTTCGAATTATAAAAATTCCCAACAATTTGGAGGGGTCGATTCCGCTGATTGCTTGATTCTTACAAAAATTCTCTTAAATATAAAATCTCATTTTTCAGCTTTCTTTAAAAATGATTTAAATTTCTTATCAAAAAACGGTTATTAGTTTTAATAAAAAATCATTGTAACTTAAATATTATTTTAAAAAGGCGCTTTCTTTACCAAATGGTTGTGCAGGGTTTATTGCTATTTTGTTGTCGCTTTAAAGGTGAGTTTCCACTCATCCGTTTTTTCACGGGAACGGGAAAAATAATCACGTGAGCATGCGTAGTTTTACTTCGGACAAATTAAAATTTATAATACGCATGCCCACGTGATTATTTTTCCCATCCCGTTCCCGTGAAAAAACGGATGAGTCGAAACTCACCTTTAGTCACTATGCGATATTAGCAAATACGTCACTATGAATGTCACTATACGTCATAAAGTCAATATGCGATATGAGTAAATACGGCGATATTAGAAATTTCGGGAAAAGTTTTTGTTTTGTTTATGTATCAAGAGTTTATATGTATACTTACATGAATAAAACTCAAATCTTCTTGGTGATTTAGCTAAATAACTTCCAGGTAAATTTTAAAACTAACGTGTGCGTTCTTAATACTCGTGTATATAAAACTCGTGTTTACTCTTATGTCATATAACAGTATTTTGATGAAAACTTTATCAAGTCATTTAAAATAATGAAATTTATTCAAAAATTTAAGTTTTATAGAAAAACGCTATAATGTATAGAAATTAAAGCCATGTAAACTTTAATCTCTCTTCGTTTCCAGGGGGCTGTTAGCTATAAATGATTATATATAGCGATTTTACAGGTGTGTGTGTGGGGGTGGGGTGGGGGGGTGTTACCCCCTCCTCCCCCAAATAATATGATTTTCAAGGTATAGTTGGTTTATTTTCGAATTTAGTCGGCTAGTTGGCTATTTGGCACAATTCAGTCGGTCAAATTTTTGTTTTGAGGATCTTATTTTTTTTTATAAGCTATTCGGTACTTTTTTAAGGATTCTCCTCCCTCATTTTATTCGTAGAATCGCCTCTGTATATAGCTTACAGCCCCTTGTATTAGATGGTTTTTAAATGAAATTACATTTTTTTAAATTTTAGTTTTACTTAAACAAAAAAGTATCTTTTTTTTTTTGAAAAAAACTTTGACGGGTGGTGCCTTCTTTTTTGTTCCCAGATTCTTTTTTGGAAAACATTGTCAAATGACGTTAGTATAAACATACAATAGTTTGAAGTTAACAACTTACCTGCAAGTTACTTCACTCAAATACTAAAATATTTTAGATCTGGAAACGAAAAGTTTAAACAAGATTTAATCCTAGGTTAAATTTCATTGAAATTAGGTTTAACTTCACCTAGCAAAAAGTAAAAAAAATAAAAATAAAATTACTTAAGTATTAAAAAAACTGCATTTGTAAAACTAAGATTATCGCGTCTGCTTCAGATTTGCCATTATAAACTAAGTTAGTACACTTCATGTTGAATTACAAGAATTACAAGAGTGTTGTTAACGGACAATTAAATTTATAGGTTAAGAATAAAATAAAATAAACCTAATAAACATGTCGTTTTATTTTTCTATTTTTAAATTGATATTATTTTCAACGCATTTGTGCAACATTCTAAATTGAAGTTTAAATCCACCCTACACTACTGAAAATATCGTGCTAACCCTGTTTTCCACGCTGTGGGGTTGTTAAAAAGAGTCGTGTTTTGGAGTTTTGAAAGAGAGCTGTAAATAAATAAATAAATCGTTTTTACTGTTGTATTAGCAATCATTTTCACTTTTTTAGATTCGTAAGATTTTATTAACTTTTGAGTTATGGGTTTTATACTCAGTAAAGATGGTCATCGCCAACCACTTCAAACTAATAATGCAAATAAGAATAATGCAATTAGAAACACTGAATGCTTTCAAAAAAGTTTTTCTAATCAAGATGTTGATAGAGAAGAGACAGACAGAGAATCTATCAAAAACACAGAGTACTATCAAAAAAAATTTTTAAATCAAGATGTTGATGAGAAAATGTCGGACAGTGATTCAATCAAAAACGGTGAATGTTCTTTAAGTAAAAATGAAAACCAAAGTAACGATATAAAAGAGGCGGATAACTCTCCTGTTGAAGCTGCCAATAGTTCACATGTTAACTTATCATATGAAAACAATCAAGAAATAAAAAGGGAAAATATTGAACCGTCTCAAAGTAGTCTGGATATTATTGATGCTTCATGGATAGAAATAGATTCTAATATTTCAAGAAAACCGTTTCTAGATTCCAATCAAATAAATAATGGAGTTGAAAGTAAATCTGGGTGGAAAGTGATTCGGCTTTTTATATCATCAACATTTGCTGATTTTCATGAAGAAAGAGAAGTACTAATTAAAAAAGTAAGTTTTTACTATCGATCTGTTATATTTTATTTTAAAATATTTTAAGGGTAGTCGGTGAAATGCGAACTGCGAACCGCGAACTGCGAACCGGTAAAATGTGAACATTTTTTGCGAAGCAATTATATTTTAATGACCTCTACGGTTATGATATTTAAAAAAACTTTTGCTCGTAAATTTTTTAATTTAAATTAAATATAGTGATATTTAATATATTTTATTTAAATTAGATTGTATTTCTTTTAAATTAAATATAATTTATATTTCTCCTTCAAGTCCATAAAATATATTGTAAAATAAACAATTTACCGGTAAACGGAAAATAAAAAATATTACATCATTAACCAATAAATATTAACCAATAGAACTATGGTTCGCAAAAAAGTTCCTATGTTACAAGTTCGCAGTTCGTGGTTCGCAGTTCGCATTTTACCGACTACCTATTTTAAGAAAATGTGATCAAGGACCAAATAAAAAGAAAAAATAATTAAAAATAAATACTAATACAAATGAAAAAAATGAATTATTTATAATGGATCTGCAATAAGCACACTAAATACTTTTAGATATTTAGGACTTGTCAGTTATATATTACAATAAGGACACTAAATACTTTTAGATATTTAGGACTTGTCAATTATATATTACAATAAGCTAAATACTTTGATTTGATGATTTAATACTATACACAATTGATTAAAACATTATATGACAGCATTTTAAATACAGCAGCATTTAACAAAATCCATACGATGTTTACCGTAAAGTACAGAACTCAGGCGCGATTCAACTTTATTTATAAAAAATAAATTACTATTGTTTTGCCAACTTTATTAATAAAGTTAAAAACGACTTAAATAATAATTACATGTTGTGAAAAAAATTACAAGAAAACAGAAGACATGTTTAATCTCTCTTTCAAAAAAAAATTTTTTTATTAAATGATATAAACATCTTCGTAATCTTCGCAAAAATTAATAAGTTGAGACGATCCTTCAGTTAAGCGCTTTAAAATAAGATTTTTTTTTTCATTTTTTGTTTTTCAAGCAAAAAGTCCCTTCCAAAAATATTTAAAAAATAGATTAAATGAGGTCGTAACATCATACATATTTATTAGCCCATTTTAAGCCCGAATGGTCGTCTTTCATATAAATCAAAATCAAGTTTTGCGTTTTCGACAAAACGCAGACCTGGAAAATTTAAGCGCTTATTTCGTCGCTGCAAAACAAAACTATCTTAAGTCCATTTTTTAGCAAAATTGACTTTTTTGGTTTAAAATACTCCTTAGGTGCACAAAAGTCATCTCACAAAGTATGGAACCAAAAATGATTCAACTTTTGCAACTATGAGTAAAACTCAATTATCTTATGTCCTAAAAAAAATAATTGAGACATCGTTGCTGTACAACAAAGCTATCTTAAGTCCATTTTTTGGCAAGAAAAAAAACTTTTTTGGTTTAAAATACTTAACAAATAAAATAAGCAACTAAAAACAAGTAGATTTAAAAATAGTAGTATTTAAAAAAAATCAGAAGCAGTGATTAAATTTAAAACTTTAAATGTCTTTTTCTCAGAACAGCGAAACGGACTTAAGATTGTCTTGTTTTGCAGCGGCAATTTAATTTGTAGAATTTTGACATATTTTATATAGTTTTAAAACTATCTTAAGTCCATTTGCTTCTTATAAACTTGTTGCTTCTTATAAACTTAAAATTTTTTTATTTATTTGTTATATTATGAAAAATAGTAACATATTCTATAAGTATTTTAAAAACAATTTAGTTTAATGGAGAAGATCAAACGCAGTGATGAACTAAAAACTTTAAATGCGTTTTTTTCAGAACAGCAAAAATAGACTTAAGATAGTCTTGTTTTACAGCAACGATTTCTATTTATTTTTATATTTTTTGCATATAACATATTTATGTAATATTATGCTAATTAGTAGAAAATCACCTATCAAACTTTTTTCTTTTTCACAAGACTCATCAGAAAATTTTGTTTTTCAGATTTCTCTGATGAGTCTTTACTTATATATATATATATATATATATATATATATATATATATATATATATATATATATATATATATATATATATATATATATATATATATATATATATATATATATATATATACATATATAAATATATATATATATATATATATATATATATATATATATATATATATATATATATATATATATATATATATATATATAATATATATATATATATATATATATATATATATTATATTTCCAAAGTTTCTCTTCAGCACAAAATGTGTAAATATTCTAATAACTAAGACAAATTTTTTAATTTTTGTTAAAATCAAAAATTGTAAATACATGTTTCGACTATATCGTAGCCATCATCAGTTAAAATAGATTAAAATGCTTAAATCAAATTATTAAGTTAAGTTGAACTAAAGAAACCTTATAATAAAAATAAAATAAAAATGCAATTAAAAAATGTAACAAATGTTTTAAAAAGATAAAAGAACAGTTAATGTTAAAAGGAACTAGATGGAAATTGTCATTTTTACATGGTTCATTTATTTATTAATAGTGGGTTTTTCCAACTCTATGTAAATGCTTTCTTTGAGTTTTAATATAAACTTGTTGGAGACGGAATCCGAAGTTAAAAAATTAGCATGATTAAAACTATTAAAACAGCTTTCATTTGAATGAATATGTTTATATATGTGTGAGTTTTTATCCTTTTTTTGGTGCTCGATTATTCGTGTCTTTAAATGGCGAGTAGTTTCGCCAATATAACAGGATTTACAGTCTGCGCATTCAATTTATAGACAACGAATGAATTAAAGTTTGTAGGAAAGGGATCTTTTGTGGAAATTTTTTTTGAAATTTTAGATGAAGTAAAAACCAATCTTGTAGTGACAGATTTACAATATCTTTTAATGATTGCGTTTAGTCTTTGTTTGGTTAAATCAGATATTTTTCCAATATAAGGAAGTTTAAAATATTGATAATTTTGTAGGTTTCCCGAACGTGATGAAATGTCGACATTGGTGTTGTTAATATAAGAACTATGGATTTTCTTAATCAACCAAGACGTGTACAAGTTGCGTTTGATAACTTTAAAAAGATTGTTAGTGATGATACTTTTAGGTGTGAGTTTTTATCCCAAAAATGGGATAAATAGTTTTACTTTAGTTTCTTTTTTCTGAAAAATTACCAAAAATGTCTGCTTTAGATAAGTAGGGTTTGTTGATTTTAGGGGACATAGCTCATGATTTTTTTGGTAATTACAAAAAGGATAAGATAAAGTACGGACGTACCCAAAAACGTACGAATGCGTTCAAAGTGGAGGGGTAGTGTTTAAGGTAGCCAGTAGATACGTGGTTTAACTATATTTAGTTATCTATTTCTCCTAAAACTTGATTTCTTTTTTTTTTAACAATTGTTAAAAAAAAAAAAACTAGATATAGTTAAACCACGTATCTACTGGCTGCCTTAAACACTACCCCTCCACTTTGAACGCATTCGCACGTTTTTGTGTAAGCCCCCTACCTCATAAATGCGAACGTACTTGATAGAAGTACGTCCGTATTTTATCTTATCCTTTTTGTAATTACCAAAAAAATCATGACCTATGTCCTCTAAAATCAACAACCCCTACTTATTTAAAGCAGACATTTTCGGTAATTTTTCAGAAAAAAGAAACTAAAGTAAAACTATTTATAAAAACTCACACATAAAAATATCATGACTAACGATTTTTTTGGGATAAAAACTCACACATAAAAATATCATGACTAACTATGCTTTTAAAAGCATCGGTTCACGAGTTTAAAAAATGTTATGTAACAGAAATATGCCAAATTAATTTAACGTTTTTTGTTTTGTTTTTAACGTTATAAAACAATTTATGCATTGGATAAGAGGGAGGTGATTTTTTTGATAGATTTAGCATATGTATGCAAAGGAGGAGGAAGGGCAATCGTTAAATGCATATACCTTTTTAGGACGACTAAGTTGTATCCTATAAAAAAATATTTCGAATTTGAAAGTAGTTTACTTGCGAATTCTACAACTGTATTAATTTAAATCTTTTGTTGTTAGCTATTGAAGAAAGCTAGCTTAGAAGTTTTATAAATAACGACGTTTCGATATTATAATAATCTTTTTCCGTCAGCCATTATAGTTGCTTATTTACTGTTTTTACAACAAGACGATTAGTGATAGCATGGACGTATAAGAGATCATATCTCTTATACGTGGACGTATAAGAGATCATATCTCTTATACGTGGACGTATAAGAGCAGTGCCGTGGCTAGTGGCTTTAGGCCCCCCCCCCCCCCAAACATTCCATTAGGGCCCCAAAGTTTTTTTAAATGCGTTTAAATTGACATTTTTTTTTTCAAAAAGCGCAAGGCGTATCTTTTATAATGCACCGAACATATTTTTAAGTAGTCGTTCACGAGAAAAAAAACAATAAAATTAACCCTTTAATTTAATTAAGTATATTTTATAATTGTTATATTTATTAAGAGTTTAAAACAAAAAGTTTCTTTGACTACTGTGAATGTATTAGGCATTCACAGGTCAAAAAAAAGGTTTGCGTCGTGTTTTCATACTTGCAAACTTATTTATTAAGCCTTCATAACTTAATTTCCTTGCCACCTCGTTCTCGATTGACAGCATTGCTAGGGAAGACAAACGTTCATCGACCATTATTGACCTACATAAAGATACAAAGAAATATAGTTATATGTGTTTACGTATAAGGAAGTAAGAGTATTTATACTAACCTATGAAAAGTTTTAATTAATTTTAACTTGCTAAAGCTACGTTCTGCACTTGCAACAGTTACTGGAGAAGTAAGAATGATGCGTAACGCAATAACTAGATAAGGATAAGTTTCCTGCAGCTCTTCTTTGTAGATGTAGTTAAGGAAGTCATATGCAGATTTCAGGTTTGTATTTTTGTCCTCTTGTACAACTATGACAAATCGTTTCAACTCCATTTC